AAAAAAAAACAAGAAGAAATGCTTGTGATATGTTCTACATTAAAAATTCATATTATTGTATTGACATTCTATAAGAAAGAAATGAAAATATGTTTATTTGAGAGTGATTAAATAAGAGAAATGATTAAGAAGACGTTTTAAAAGAAGAAACAAATGAAAGAAGTGAGATAAAAGTGATATTTCAATTTTTAATGAGAAGAAAAAAAAGAAGAATTTTTTAATAAAAAGGAACTTTAAGAAATAAAATGGAAAAAGATAAATGGAAAGAATTGTTTAGTAAAGATATAATTGACATTGATAAAATGAAGAAATTAATATATAAAGAAGGAGTTCCAAATGATTCAGTAATCCGAGCGAATGTATGGAAATTATTACTTGGATATTACACACCAAGAAAAAGAGAATGGGAAGAAATTGATTATAACTGTTTAGAGCAATATGAAAAATATATAAAAAATATTTATCCGAAATATCCATCAACATTATTAGATAAAACATGGAATGAAATATGGAAAACAACAGAGAATTGTATTGATATATATCCAATAGAAAGAAGTTCATTTGAATTAAATGAAATTGAATTAAAAAGAATACAATTAATAGAAAAAGATATTATAAGAACCGTTATTGGAGCACCAATTAATAGAGATGAACCAATTCGACATGACTTAGGATTTAGAAGAATATTATTTATATTATCATTAACAAATGGAGGAGTGTCATATGTTCAAGGAATGAATAATTTATGTAATGTATTTTATTCATTATTTGCATCATCTTCTAATCAACCAGATTATAAACTTGTTGAATCACAAACATTTGGTTGTATGTTTCTTCTTATTGATTTAATGAGAAATTGGTTTTTATCATCAAATGATAATCTTCCAAATGGAATTAATGCATCAATGAAACAAGTTGACAGTTTATTACAACAAACTGATAATAAACTTTATAATCAATTTATTTCTAATGGAATAGAAAGTAGTTTATATATGTTTAGATGGTTAACATTATTATGTTGTATGGAATTTACATTATTTGAAACGTTTATGTATTGGGACTTTTTCTTTATTGATCTTCATGAATTTGTATTATTAAAAGTAGTGTGTTGTAGTATAATTCTGTGCTTAAAAAAAGTACTTATTAATAAAGACTTCTCATCTACTCTTAAAATTCTTCAAAATATTCCTTCAATTTCTCATTCTAAAGTTATTAAGAAATCTAAAAAGATTCTTAAAACAATTCTTCATTTTAAAATTCATCATTGTACTTCTCAATTTCCTTTTAATGCTTTTATGCATATTAAAAGTTCTTCTTCTCATGTAAATTATTCATTAAATAAATCACTCATTTCATTGAATAATGAAAATTCTTTATCTCCATCACAATGCAAACAAGTTGATGCTTATGATCATTTGTCTTCTCCTTCTCAATGTAATAATTCTCTTCTCTTGGAAAAAAAACCATCAGATCTTTCACAAATTAATAGAAAACATTCAATGGATCAGTCTAAAAGAAAAGTAATTCATCTTAAAACAATCAAATAGTATTGTAATTCTTTAATTCATTTATTATTATTCTTTCATTGTTAAATATCTGGTTTTTTTTCTTTAATTCATTTTTTAATTCATTTTTTAATTCATTTTTTATTTATTGCTTTCTTCCGTTGGACTTTTCTTTGAACTATTCGACGCTTTTCATTTTCGATGTTTTTCATTCTTCTATTTGAATAAAAACATCTTTGAACTATTCGTTAATAGTAATAATATTCTATTAAATCTAAAGCAAATTCCAATACCTTTTATTCACTTAATTCAATGTATCTAAAAGTAAAAAGAAAGAAAAAGATTGAAGAAAAAAATGAATTACAAATTATAATGTAAATTCATATCCATCTTTTTAACAACAGAAATTGAAAACAATGAAAACTTTCACTTAAAGGAACTAAAAAGAAAGAAGTCTAAAAGAAGACTTCTTTTAGAATTAAATTAAAAAAAAAA